TCAGGCGACATCACAAAATACTACTTATTACATTATATAAAATACTATTTTTACCTTTAAGCCATTAATGTTCAGTAAACTGTCTCTTTCCTATCACTGTGTACTGCCGAGGTACTTGCCCAATATTGCTAACAAAATAATCAGCGAAGGTATCTCGAATTCTCTGCACATTTGCTCGACTTCCAACAGTGTTAATTTCCAATTCACTGTCTTCAAATCCTACAACATTCAAAGCATCTTCCAACTGAAATCCATCGCGATCACGAACGAAGTTATGCAATACACATCAGCCTTTAACAATGTCATCTGCAAACTCAACACTCTTGTCCAATGCTCGGTGAAATATTCTCCATTTGTTACAGAGTATTCTGAATGTGCATTCTACATACCTATGCGCTAATGTTAGTCAATAATTAAAAACCTTTTTTTTGGATAGATCATTCCCTGCATAAGGAGTTAGTAGAAAGTTAGTAAGCACAAATGCCTCATCACCAACAATGACATAAGGCACTGCAGATGTGACACCACAAAACTGCTCTCGTTTAGGAGTGCCGAGAGTGCTGAACTAATGCAGTCCATAAAGAAGAATTCTTAAATATACTGCAGTCTGAATCCTTCCCATATGAACCGACATCCACACAAACAAATTGATAATTTGAGTCTGCCAGAGCCAGAAGAAGAATGGAGAAATAATGTTTGTAATTGAAAAATAGAGATCCACTTCTGTACAGTCGAATTATTATTATATGTTTACCGTCAACTGCACCTATGCAGTGTGGGAAATGAGCTCGTGTTTCAAAACATTTCACAATTTCATACCACTTTTCCGTTGTAGGAATTGGGATACATTCTTCTTTCATGATATCCCATATAACAGTACACACTCGCCGTACAATATTCCCTGCTGTAGGTTGACCAACGCTGTACATTTCTTCTATATCTGTTAAACTGTTTCCCGAGGCGAGGTACCTATAACAAAATATACAGAAAGTATACATAATCATTGATTTATTATGTTGTTTATTATTTTAATTACTAAATTACTTTTAAGATATTTCATTATCATACAAGCAATAGCGAATGGTGTATGGTCACCTCTCTTTCTTTTTCCAGAAAAGACCATCATTTCAAAATGGCGTACTGTAAGAGGTGGGTACGTGAAAGCTAAAAAAAAGGGAAAAGGAGTTATATAAAAGCTGCGCACGGAAGAAATATTGTCATAAATATGTATATGGAGATCTGCTTGGTTTCCTCAATAAATGTATGCAATTGCGAGAAACCGAGGAAAGTGCAGTAAGTGTATCTACCAGTGATGATCCGTGTGAATCTAATGAAGCGGTCGATCAGAACTCTCCTGCGACACCACCAACTGCCCCTCAAGAGAATTTTGGAAAGAAAGGGAAGGCTGTTTCAGCAATGGAAGAAAATATTTCTAACTACCTTCAGACAGCAACAGAAATGCTGCACACTCGGAAAGCCATGAGGTGTGACAACGATGATGAAGACATGTCTTTTTTCAAGTCTCTCCTACCTACTGTAAAGAAACTGAGTCACAAAAATTTCAGTTCAGAATTCAGGTGATGACTAATCTGCAAATGATGTTGGCAACGCCACCTGTTTCTCAGCCTTATCAAGTCCCCACAGCTCACCAGCCTTTTTATATCCCTCAACCTTCCATGTCATGGTATTTACCGGCTGTTCCACCTTATCAACCCCCAGTCCAGTCTCAGCAGCCCTCATCACAGCCACATGTCCCACAATCTCTTGCTAATCAGCCATCACATTATACAACTCCATCGCCACGTGAAACACCAAGTGTTACACATTCTAATGATAGTGCACTAACATTCGTTGATTCCAGTGATGATGGTGTACAGTCTACATAGCCTATTTCTTCACTGAAAATACTATACTATACTATATATGAATGAGTTTATGATACCGGTTATGCTCTTCTATTTGCTTTAAGTAATATACATGCTTACAATTATAATAAATAGCTGGTTACTATATACGTATATATATATATATATATCTTTTACTTTATTATTTAAATGCACTTACCTTAATTCTTCGGTTGGTATTGCCATTCTCATTTTTGTGTTCTTCCTTAGAAGTCTTGGTTTTATTTTGCATAACAGTTCCTCAAATGAAGATTTTGACATGTGATAGTAATTGAAAAACCTTTCAGGATATTGTTGCAGTTTCGGATGCTTAACATAAAAATGTCCAGTTATTAACCTTTATGAGCCGAAAGACACCATATGGGGACCTTTAAAGTAAAGTCGAGTGGCTGAACAACACCGTATGGTGATTCACAGTCCACGCATGCTCACAGTGTTTTAAAATCTAATTTTAAGATAGAAATTCTTGTTCTACTTACATTATTTTTGGGCACGTGCTTTATAAGTATACAGTCTTCCCTCCTGTGTCATCCAACTGAATGCAGATTCCAACATCACAATTCATGCACTTTGTCCGTATGTAACTCTGTTTTCCACACGAAGCACACACACGCAACATCAGTCTCGTATTAGCAGGAAGTAGGCCAGTGTTGCCGATTTGCCTTCTCTAATCATAACGCTTATAAAACATTGCAATTTCAACTATCCCCCATGGCCCCATTTTGCATGGAAGAAGCCAAAGTTGATAGGCAGCTGATAAATGTCACCGGTTTAGAATGCGGTACATAAGACTGTGAAAGTGTTTGGAAGCAAGGGGCCTTGAGGGGGCCTTTCTAAGAAGCTTAACAATACTTCTTGTGTGGCAGATACGTGTATACACAAGCAGAGTTTCCTAGGGACGTGACCTCACTCCTGTATACAGAAAGGTTCAGAGTGCTATATGAGCATAAACATTTCCTCTCCTCATGAAAGATAAGACATAGTCAGACAGTGTGTCAGCAGCATGCATTTAATTGCAGAAAGGTTTTGTGCATTTTTCTGAACAGACGCTCAAAATTGGGGGAAAAAATTTTTGGAATCAATGTAACAATTTTTACAGATTATAAAATCTGTAAATTACAATATCTGATTCTATATTCTTTCTAGATAAAAGCAGCATTTATTTCGTTCGTTCATCACAAAAATTGTAGAAATCACAGCATTTTCAGTAACTTGATTACAATTTTTATTACTCTACAATGGCAGGCATTTAAATTAACTCCGGCCCGTGGCCAGTACCGGAATTTAAATGGCCCAGCACATAAAGGTTAAACGGTCACTGAGTAATGGATGCACCCCATCCGCTCCATCATTTGCCTTCATAGCGTGGTGTTTAATCAGTTAAGCACAGGGACAACTCTAGCTTTTTCTTTTTACCAGAAAGGCAGTTCAGTACTGATCAGGATATATGAAGAAATGTATATGTAGTGTAAAGTGTCGGCAAACCAGAGGAGTAACTTCTATGGAAATGCTAGAATGGACCGTTACATAGGAAGTAACAATAGCGGCACTGTAGCCCCAACAGTGAGCCGTTGTTCCGAGAACATCGAATCTCCACGGTTACGAGAATACGCGAAGGTTCCCACAGAGACAACGCGATAACAATGGGTTATTACGTAGGAAACACGGAGACAACAATGCAACGTTTCCACTGCTATAACAGAGGATTCGTTACCTAGCAGCGGCCAAGGATAAATAGCCCAGCTTCGACACTAAGCCTTGAGTCCAGGAACATCCGTCGCAGAAGACAGTTGAGGTGCCACAGTGAATAGTTACTGTACTCGTGATTGTGTAAGCGTGAAGAACAATAAAGGTTCTACAGAATTCGAAGACGACGTGAATTTATTTGTAGCGTGACACATAAAACACGCTACAGTATTTTTATTTGAAAATTACATCTGGAGAATAAATTTTAGTAGTGATTTTTACCATTAAATTTCATCATAATCATTAGGGATGTTACAAGCATACAGAAGAACAGTACTACATGTTAGATTATGTCTGATATTGATGATGTGGTTCACTTTATTGGTGTGTATTTAATGGCTTCATTAGGCCACTACAATTTGACATAAAAATTTGTGTTGCAATTGAAAGTGCATATTAATGGCCAGAAAGTTTTGAATTACATTATTGAACATTCCACATATGGAAGATATATAAATATGTGCTGTCAACCCCACACTGATATGTCAATTACCATGCTGGATGCTGTTAAAGAATAGACCATAAGTAGAACTGTTTATGCAATGAGAACTTGAGAACACATTATGTATGTAAACTTAAGAAATTCATCTATTGTAAACACCCCTCCACACTAGACTGTGATGTCACGCAACAATGTAACTAGCTTTCTATGGAGTCTGTGCCGCGACCGTTGCTAAGCAATCGCTCAGGAAACACGTTCCAGCAGTAGAAGCTGTTTTCTGCACCATCAATGTGAAAGCTATATAACGACAGTTACAGACAGAACAGATGTCAGTATTCAGGGGTATCTGAGAGTGGCAGAAGCAAGCGAAGTGGAACGAGGAATACAGAAGGTTGCCCTGTANTCTCTCTTATTCTTCTAACTAAATACACAACACTAGTTGTTACTGTAATATTGCGCTGAAATACACACACATATATATATATATAAACCTGGGAATAAAGTTAGATAAAATTCAATATGACGTTAGTAATAGTTATACTCCTCAAAACTTCATTTTTATAAAAAGGATGAATAACACATTGCTTCCACTCCTGCAGCAATTCTTCCTTGTAACAAATATAACAAATAAATCCACAGACCCCAAAACAAAATGTTTTACTTCCTGCTTACATCATTACATCACAAGCTGATCTCGCAGTTTATATCTAATAAATTACACAACAGAAATTTCAACATCCAGACTCCGCTGAGATATATGCATTTCAGTTTGCCTAAGTATATATAAACTCTATAGCCAGCAATTCTCATCTTTTTATCAAGATGGTTCTAAGTTCTTAAAGGTAAATTTGTTCCTGTGCTTAACCAATTAAGCACTATGCCATGAAGGCATATGGGGGAGTGGATGTACAGATCCACATTTTCTTGATCTCATCACTAGCTGGAGTTCGAGGTGAGTGGTCAGCTTTACTCACCTGCTGCTGTACCCCTTGGGAAATGGCCCACCGTACCCATTGGATAGGAGGCTGGGTGGGCCCGAGTCAGCCTGGACAACGTGTAGAAAATTCTTGAGACTACTGTGACTGAAATTCCAACCCTTCAGTCTTCCAGCCCGTAGCCAATTGCTATACCGCCTGCACTATCCTGGGTCCTAGGTTGCTAACCCTTCCTGAATCCACTCACACCCCTATATTTTTCAGTTTCAAAATATTAATTCTGTCTTTCATATAATTTCTCAGTCTTTCCTATTTTTATACCGAAAACCAATCACACAAATACATCCAAGGAGACAATGTATTACACAATACACAATCATCTAGAATATTTCACAATAAAAATAAACGTTATATTTCAGTGTCCTGTTGCACTGATTTAAGTCCATGATTTATTTCAACCGTCTTCCAGTGCATACTCTCATCTATCTCATCTATATGTCGTCAACATATCTGAAATATTCAATTATTTTCTGATTTTTTAATACGTTGTATATTTGTGTGTGCTCCATGCTCTGGATGTATATTTCTGCTAATATTGCAGATGTTGGAGCTCCCATAGCTAAACCATCTGTTTGTTTGTAATATTTATTTTCGTACTGAAAATAAATTTCGCGTATAAAAAACGAAATAAAATTCTTATACAAAAAGAAGGAACAATTAAACAAGCAGCTTTACTACAAACACATACATAACGCAAATACATGGCAAAAAATGTGGAATACTCTAGAAGAAGAAATAAACCAAAAACTACAACACAAAATGAAAACTATATATTTAAAGCAACAACAAAAACTGAAAAGCATGGAAGAAACCCAAACAACAACAAACAAGCATAACAACATAAATTATACACGCGTAAAAAATTGTACGAACACTCACTTCACACACGACGAAATTCAGCTCTTAAGCAAAGGGCTAAAATACAATCTACACTATAAAAACAAAAAATGGATTGAAACACTAGCTCTAGAAGAAGAGACAGCAATAACAAAACTAGATATAACAGAACACAACTACTATAGACACATAGTTGCGAAGCAAATCAAAGAAATTAGCAAAAACAAAGATATCCATAATAACTATAAAAGTAAGAGAGAATGGAAATTAGCTATGAATATAAAAAGAAAAATGCTAGATAACAAATTAATAGCAACAAAAGCAGACAAAGGAAAGACATTAGTATTAATAACAAAAGAAGAGTATCAACAAAAAATAATGAAATTTATACATGAAAATAATTTTACATTGATCAACAAAGACCCAACACAACAATACCAAAATAATATTAAACAAACAATAAAACTATGCACAAACACAATACAAAAAGAACAAAAATGTAAATACACAAACATGAACCCCATGGGCCCAAATTTACACGCGGCAATAAAACTACACAAAAACAACCATCAATTGGAGAAATGCCCCAGCATACCAAATAGCAATACTGTTATCCAAAACACTACAAGAATACTTACGATTGCCAAACACATATAATATACATAACTCCATACAATTAATGAGTGACCTAAACACTATTGTAATAAATGAAAACATAAGATTATGTTCATTTGATATAGAGAACATGTATACAAACATACCTAAGAAAGACATATTGAACATAACCAAAAACATACTACAACACAATCATAATACAGACGTAAATACACAAAGAGAAATTATGTGCATATTGAATACTATACTAGACCAAAATTATTTTCAGTACGAAAATAAATATTACAAACAAACAGATGGTTTAGCTATGGGAGCTCCAACATCTGCAATATTAGCAGAAATATACATCCAGAACATGGAGCACACACAAATATACAACATATTAAAAAATCAGAAAATAA